TCCCTCTAAAGACTGGGAAGGATTTTCTGGAAGATTTTTTTTCCTTTTTTCTTTTGGCTGATACCACAGGTAGGGCTTGCTAACATTAGCCTCACACAAGATTCTGAATTAGCCATGAAACTCAGTTTCAGCCTCTCCAGGCAGAGGTCTGAGGGCAGAGCTGCCAGCTGAGGCCTCACTGGGAGGTGTCCCCATCTGAGTCCCTGTGACGGCCTTTCCAAACTCTGTCCCTTAGCAGATCCTCAAATGGTCCTGATCCAGTGCCGACCTCTCCCCTCCATGGAGTAAGAATAGTTCTGCCTGTGTGAGGACCTGGAGGGACACCCAGCGGTGCCCCAGCAGGCTGGTACCCTGACCTTGGTCCCAACATGGATCTTGAAACACCTCTATAAATTGGCTCCATTCCCTCCTAACCACAGTCTGAGAACAGGCCTGATGGACCAGGAACTCACGGGAAGATGTGCCTCATCAAGACCCTGAATCCAGTCTGAAGCTACTGGTCTTGGAAACAGACCTGAAATGATCTTGTATGTCAGTTCCATCCCATCTCAGTCATTAGTCAGGGTGGGACAGACAGCCCAGGGACCCACGCAGTGATCCAGTCAGAGCACTCTGAGGCCTAGAGGGAGCCACATACCCATCAGAACACCCAGCAATAGGTCTTCTAACCATAGAGTCTGAAGCAGACCCTTATTTCAGCCCCACAGACCAAGGTCCCATAGACCTAGTAGTCCCAGTGCAGCTATGAACCAGGGAGGACCCACGCCCACTGGAGTCCCTAGGAATGCACTGGCCTCTGTGCTCTTCCCTGCAGACTTGGCATCGGTCAGGTGACCTAGAGCCAATCCCACTCCACTGCAATCCAGGGGCAATCTCCTCAGCCTGCAGACCTATATTTTAATTTGCCAAAACCAGTTTTTAAAGACTGGAAAAGGGGTTTGCATCTTCAAGTGTGGAGACACCAGTGCAAGCATCAGAGAAAACAAGACACCACCAAAAGAACCACACAGAGCTCCAGTAACTGGCCCCAAAGAAATGGAGACAGGCAAATTCCCTGAAGAGTGACTCAAAATAATCATCTTCAAGAAGTTCAATGAGATTCAACATCGTACAGACAGTTAAATGAAATTTTTAGAAAAATGCCTGAACAAAATCAGGAGCTTAATAAAGAAATAGAAATCATAGAAAAGAAACAAACAAATCCTGGAGCCAGAGAATATAATGGCAGAACTGAGAAATTCCAGTTTCAACAACACTCAATTCTGCAGGAGGAAGACCCAGTACATTCAGGGCCAAGTCATTTGAAATTAGCCAACTAGAGAAACAAAGAGAGAAAAGATTAAAAATTCTTTTAAGAGGGGCCGGCGCTGTGGCACAGCGGGTTAACACCCTGGCCTAAAGTGCCAGCATCGCATATGGGCACTGATTCTAGTCCCGGCTACTCTACTTGCAATCTAGCTCTCTGCCATGGCCTGGGAAAGCAGTGGAGGATGGCCCAAGTCCTTAGGTCCCTGCACCCACGTTGGAGACCGGAGGAAGCTCCTGACTTCAGATCGGTGCAGCTCCAGCCGTTGCGGCCAATTGGGGAGTGAACCATCGGATGGAAGACTCTCTCTCTCTCTCTCTCTCTCTCCCTCTCCCTCTCCCTCTCCTCTCTCTGTATGGCTCTGACTTTCAAATAAATAAATAATCTTTAAAAAAATTCTTTTAAGAAAGTATAAGCGATGTGTGGGACACTACATGCAGGAGTGGGTGGGGGATACAGAGACCCCCCTTTCCCCAGCCAGCAGGTTATCTACTAGAAATGGGTGAGCTCCTAGAAATATAGAACCTGCCAAAACTAAGTTAAGAAGAAATTGAAAATTCCAACAATTCATACCAGAGGTTGAATCAGTAATCACAAAATCCCCACAAAGAAAAGTCCAGGTCCAGATAACTTCTAAAAAAAAAAAAAAAAGTCAATCCTTTTCAAATCCTCCAAAAATTTAACAGTAAAGACTACTTCCAAGTTCATTCTTTGAGACCAGTATTACCTTAACACCGAAGGCAAACACAGATGCCACGAGAAAACTGTAGGTGCTTATCACTGACAGACACAGATGCAAGCGTCCATAATAGAACATTAGCAAACCAAGCCCAACAGCACCTGGAGACTACCATCTCCCACGGCTATAGGGGACGCATGCTAGGATGTGAGGAGGATTCAATACACGGAAAGCAACAGCAGTCACACCCCAAAGATAGTGTGCTCAGCTCCGAATAACCACAAGACAGTGGATGTAAGTGAGCCACATGAATACTGCTGCTTCCTGGTATCTACAAAACTTATATTTAGGAGTGGCCCTTCAGCACAATGGCTAGAATGCCTGTGAGATGCTCACATTGGAGTGACTGCATTGGAGTCCCAGTAACATTCTGATTCCAGCCTCCTAATGGTGCACAGTCTAGGAGGCATCAAGATGGGGATCAAGTACTTGGATTCCTGCCATGCAAATGGATGGACTTAGATCTGGGTTTCTCATTCCAGCCTGGCCCAACCCCAGCTATTGTGAGCATTTGGAGAATGAACCAGTAGATGGAAGAGTTTTCTCTCTCTCTCTTGCTCTCGCTCTCTCCCTCTCCCTGTTTCATTCTCAGCCTTTCAAATAAAACTAAAAATTAATTTTTATAATGCTACATTTTTATCACACTATGCATTATGTCTAAATGAGTGAGTATCTTGATTTAAAAAATACTTCGTAGGCTAACAAAAAGCTAAAGATCATATGAACTACTGGTGAAATGGTGCTGATAGATTTGCTTGAACTATAACTTTTCTACAACTGAAAAAAAGGCCAATATCTGCAAAGCACATTCCAGGGAAGTTCATGAATATATTTAATGTCTATTACGAATTATGAATTATGATCACCATGTCAACAGCATAAAGGAGAAGGAGGAGGTGTTTACACTGGAGGTTACAAAATCTGTATCCCACCTATCACCCAAAGGAAGGAAATGGGTGTATGTTCTAAGGCTCGTGGCCCTTTGCCTATAAATCAATAATATGATATAGAAATCTGTAAGTCCAACCTATTCACTGAAAAATGAATTAACATTCCCAGTTTATTGCCAAAAGTTCCAGTAATGAACATACTGCTGGCTTCTGCTGAACTGGGTCACTGAGCAACTTCAGTTAAAAATTCCAAGCCCCTGCTGAATTGTCTGAGATTTACATGCATCAGATCAAACTGAAAAATGCCTGATCCCACAGGGCGGCCACAGCCCCTGGGTTGAGACTGATCCAAAAACACAAACCTGGTGAGGCACATCTGGTTTCTTGAGCTATGGCTGAGTAGCAGTCCTGGTAACAGAGTGCGGTTAGCAAATGAGATCTGGGAGGAGCGGCCGCCCTCAACCTAGGGCACCTGGAGATTTTCTAGTTTCAGATACACCTCTGGGGAGTCAGGAGCAGAGCAGAGCTTTGATTAACCTCACTAGCTGTGGAGATTTATAAAGAGAAAGCTTCCTATATAGTGAGGCAAAATGAAAGAATAGGAATTAACTGAAGAGTATTGTCTTCACTCACCCAGGGATTCAGAGGGTTTCTGCTGAGAATTCCTTGGATAATAGGCATAACCCAACCAGAGAGCCTAGGACTAGGTTTCCAGTGTTAATGTTTTCATCTTGTATTCTTCCTGATGAGTATATTCTGTCTTTTTAGAACCCTTCCCGTCTCAAGTCAAATTCGTGCATGAAAAAATTTTAAATATAAAATAAATCTATTACTCTTGTCTTAAGAAACTTTCTATAGATTTCTCTGATATTAAAAGTAAAACTTATTGACATAGTCTATATTCTTAAATGTCTTTGCTTCTTATTTAACTCTATCTCACCCTGAATAGATGAGTGACTGTTGGATTGCTTTTTCTATGAGGTGCTCTTTTTAAATTTTCTTTCTTTTTTATTGAGAGGGAGAGACAGACAGACAGGGAATCCACTTATTCACCCCCTCAAATGCTTGCAACAGTCAGAACTTCAGACCAAGGCTGGCAACCAGGATCTCAATCCACATGAGAGGCAGGGACTCAACTACTTGAGCATCACCTGGTGCCGACCAGGGCCTGCATTAGCAGGGAGCTAGAATCAGGAGTGGAGCCAGGACTTGAACCCAGGCCCTCCAGCATGGGAAGCAGCATTCTAGGTGGTGTCCCAAGTGCTGTGCAAAATGCCTGCTCTGGGAATACTGTTTAAACAACCAGAAGATAATGAATGATATGGGTGGATTACAACCTTGCCTATCAGTAATTACTGTGACTGTAAAATGATTAAGTTATCCAATAAAAAGACATACAGAGACTAAATAGGTTAGAAAAGAAGGAAGACACAGGGTATGCTGCACACAACAGATTCACATCACCGGTGAGGATGCATGCGGATTGAAAGCAAAGAGACAGAACACATATGTCATATAAAGAGGAAGCAGAAGAGCAGGGGTAGCTCTACTTACTCCAGACTAGACAGACTTTAAGTCAAAAACAGCAAAAGAGACAAATATCATTTTATAATGACAAAAAGGCCAATTCTAGAAGAGCATGTAATGGTAAATGCCTATGTACACAACAACGCAGCATTTGAATACACGAAGCAGGAGCAGGTGTTTGTGCAGTGACAGAGCTGTTCATGGGATTCCCATACCCATACTGGAATGTGTGGTCATGCCTGGTCATGGCTTTGTGATTGGGTTCCTGCCACCCACATAGGATTGAGTTCTAGGCTCCTGGGGTGAGGTCCAGGCTCCTGAATTCAGCACTATAGCCTTTGCAAGCATCTGGAGAATGGGCTGGAGAATGGGAGCTCTCTCTGTCTCTCCAATAAGTAAATGGGGACACATAATACACATAGGAAGGAAGTTAGGAAGGGAGGGAGGGAGGAAAAGAGGGAGGAAGGGAAGGGGAAAGGGGGAAGGAAATGAAATAAAGACATGGTATGCTGCTATAAAGAAATAGTTTTCAGCCTTTCAAAAAGAAAGAAATCCTATGTCATTGTGATAGATGCCTGCCCCTGCAGAACCTGTCAGTAAATGAGCTAAGCTGGGAAGAGAAGCACGCTACTCGTATGAAAAGGGAAAAGTGCAACGTTCCGCTGGCTTGCAGTACCTGAAGCCCCACAGTCACAGAAGTAGACAGTGGTGGTGCTAGGGAGGGGAGACAAGAGACAGGGAGCTTTCCTCCAGCATGCATTTCAGTTATGTGAGAGAGTAGGTCAGGAGCTCTTACAGCGCAGTGCCTGCAGGAGCGCTGTCCCATGCACCTGGAAAGCTGTCTCGTGCTGTGTTCTCACAGTACAACAGCAAAAAGGAGGTGCAGCGAGGTGTCTAAGGTGATGGACGTTCCACTGTCGTGGCCGTCATCTTCCCCTGTGTGTGCACGTGTCATGACTCAGCAAACTGCCTGCACTAAATGTTATGCCTCTTGCCTAGCAACTACACCTCAATAAGGCTGTTTTCCAAAAAAAGGGAAATCATGTGTCTTGAAGTCCAATAATTCTATTGATCTAATGAATGAAGAGGTTTAGAGCAAAGTTATTGACCCACTTTCCAAAGGCACATATCCACAACGCACAGAGTAACCTTCAGACCCCTAAAGGAAATGAGCTAAGCTGTAAAAAAAAAAAAGAAAAAAAAACGATGCTTTGAGTATTTCTTCTCTTCCACCCATCTTTGAATTCTGAAAATATATTTTTAAATAAGAAACAATCTATGGAGAAGAACAGTTAATATGATATCCCTCCTATCCAGGCACTGGGACAAATTTTCTGCCTGACAGAGGAAGCACATGTAGAAATCTGTCATTTTGTAACATGCAACTTTAATGTGTGACATTATGAAGTAAATAAAAAGTCTTTGGCCAAAAACTAAACATTTCACTCAAATTATTAAAAACCTCATAACTGAGAAACCACTGTTAGATATGTAACATTTAATTGTTTGAATTTCTGGGAATAAGTATCAGAAATAAAGTTTGGGACCAGCATTGTGGTGTAGCAAGTAAAGCTGCTGCCTGTGATGCCAGCATCCCACATGGGCACCAGTTCATGTCTTGACTGCTGCACTTCCAATCCAGCTCCCTGTTAGCCCACCTGGGAAAGCAGTGGAAGATGACCCACATACTTGGGCCCCTGCACCCACATGGGAGACCCAGATGAAGCTCCTGGCCTCTGGCTTCAACCTGGCCCTGCCCTAGTTGTTATGGCCATCTGTGGAATGAACCAGCAGGTGGAAAATCTCTCTCTGTCTCTCCCCCTCCCTGTAACTCTTTCAAATAAGTCTTTTAAAAAATAAAGTCTGAACGTTGAGGTGAGGCTCCCAGGTTACACCCATGCAGAGATCTCTTCCCTGAGGCCTGAGCTCCTGGTTAAATAGCACACCTTCCTTGGTTACAGGATGAAATGAAGGGATGGCAACTGCACGGGCATGGTGTTTGGAACTCTGAGTGTGACCAAGACAACGCTGGGTCACAGGGCTCACAACCAGTGCCTGGAGCACCACCTCCATGTGGTGCACAGCTGTCCGGAAAAAAGTCTCTTTAGTGCCTCTTTAATGTCCTTGTTCCTCAACGTGTAGATGATGGGATTCAAGGTGGGGGTGACCATGGTGTAGAAGAGAGAGATGAACTTGCCTTGGTCCTGGGCGTAACTGTGGCTGGGTTGCAGGTACATGTAGATTATGGTGCCGTAGAAGATGACCACCACCGCCAGGTGGGAGGAGCATGTGCTGAAGGCTTTGTGCCTCGCCTCCACTGACCTGATCCTCAGCACAGCCTGGGTGACGAAGCCATAGGAGATGAGGATGAATGCCGGCGGGAGTACGAGGAACAGGACGCTCACCCCCAGGAGCACCAGCTCATTGATGGTGGTGTCCACACAGGCCAGCTTGAGGAGAGCTGGGACTTCACAGATGAAATGGTCCAGCCTGTGGCTGCCACAGAGAGGCAACTGCAAGGCAAGGGTGGCGTGGACCAGGGCATTGGCCAAGCCACTGAGCCAGGAGGCGCAGGCCAGCTGCCAGCATATGCGTGGGCTCATGATGACAACATAGTGCAGGGGTCTGCATATGGCGATGTAGCGATCCAAGGCCATCACTGCCAAGAGGACGCATTCGGTGGAGCCCAGGGCCAGAGAAACGTAGAGCTGCACCACACAGCCGCTGTGAGTGATGGTCTTCTCTGGTCCTCGCAGGTTGACTAAGGTCTGAGGGGCAAGGCTGCTGGTGAAGCAGAGATCCAGGACAGAGAGGTTGCCGAGGAAGAAGTACATCGGGGTATGCAGAGGGGGATCCAAGTAGGAGACAACAATGATGGTGAAGTTCCCCACGAGGGTTAGCAAGTAGAAGAACAGGACAAATACAAAAAGCACAGCCTCCAGGTGAGGGTGATCCGAGAAGCCTAAGAGGATGAAACCCACCAGGGCACTCTCGTTGGCCCATCCCATCCCTCCAAAGGAAGTGGCACCTGCTAAGAGAGGAACAGAACAGGTGTGCTTGGCATCCTTCATTCTAGAGTGACAGAGTGCGAGAGCTGAGAGGACCACGGAGGCTGCCGGCCCGGCCCCTGATGCTGACTCAGAAGACACGTCCGAGACTCCTCTTTGAAAACCATGAGCACTTCCAACGTTGGAGTTCTCTGGGGACTGACTGTCAAAGCTGATAAAAGTGGGTATTCCCAAGCGTATCCAAAAATGTGCCAACACCGACTCTGAAAATAAGTTAATTGCTCTCAAGATAAAGAAGTGGGCAGCATCTTGTGGTAAACTGTTGAGGAAATCCTGCATGCAAAATGCAATATTGAGGTCTGGCAGGCACAAATGAGTGATAAAAATTTAAAAGGGATGTTTGAAAGCTGACCAAAGTAAGTGCTTAGATTTGCAAAATGATATTATTTTCAAATATAGAGATGGGGAAGCTTTTATTGATGAAATTAATTAATTAAAACAATACCTTTAAAAATGACTGACATTTGTATGAAAGGGAGTATATGATTTTTTATATATAGGAGAACATTATAATAGGTAGAAAATATAGATGTGCTTGTGGAACTAAAATATATGATATTTCAAATTACCTCATACAAGTTCTCTTAAATGATTAAACAGCAAAAAACTCTCATTTTAAAATATTATTTATTATTTATACAAACCAGAAAAATAAATCATACTCCAAAGAGCCTACAGTATTAATAAAGAAATTAAAATAGTTTCTTATAAATATATAATTCATTTAAAAGAACTCAGGTAAATCTATCAAAACTCCTTAACTTTCAACATGAAAAAAGCACAAGTGGAATCACAAACAGAAGTGAGAGGAGGCTGTGTGGGCCACGTGGATGGTCCTCTTGTCTCTGTGAGATCAGGAAGGTTAGTGTGGAAGGTGTGCCCTGGAGACAGCGTCTGAGGCAAACCGTGACATACTGAGTGAAGCAGAAGCCTGGCTTTGCCAAGCAGAGAGCCATGGGCCACGCAGGCACCCAGGGCACAGCAGAGGGGCGTTTCCTGTCCCTGCTCTGGTGTTGGCAGGAAGGTGGACAGCTTAGACAAGGACGGCAGGGAGTTATGTTGTCGGCTGGGTTTGTGCATGAATAGACAAGAACCACCAACAGTGACATTAAAGAATGACAGAAGAAAAGCAATCAAATGAAAATAAGAAAATTAACGCAATTCTGACGTCTCTGTGGAGAGGGAAGCAGACTGAGGCTGCAGGCTGACCTCTTCCCTGCTGTTAGCACTGGGGACTGGGAATGAGGGAGCACAATGCCCGCTCTCAAAACCTTGTCTCATTTACCCAGATTCCCAATTCAAAACTGGCCTCCCATCAGCCGGCACAGCAGGGGGAGGAGGGTGGCAGTCCCTGTGGGGCCTGCGGCTCCCTGCCTCTCTGGGGAGGGAGCTCTGCTTCTGTTTGTCCCTGTGCCTGATACTACAGAATACGTGACAACAGGAATGAAAAACAGACCAAAAACCAGCATTAATGCAAGCTTATCACACGCACAGTTACAGAAGTGGGCAGTAAACAGCCACAAACACACAAATTAACGACAAACAGAACAGGGTTCAGGGAGGGCCAAGGAGGGTGAGGAACCTCAGAGAGGGACTTCTCGTGTTTTCCGAACATGACAATGATGTGTGTGTGTGACTGTGTGTGCATGTGCATTGTGATTGTGTGCATGTGATTGTGTGTGTGGGTTTGTGCACGTGTGCATATGCGTGTGCATGTGTGTGCGGATGCATATGATTGTGGGCGTGTGGGCGTGTGTGCATGTGTGATTATGTGATTGTGCACATGTGTGCATGTAAATATATGTGACTGTGTGTGTGTGTGAAGGGGAAAAATGCACATTGCACAGTGAGAACTATAGTTTAGCTTGCGAAGGACTTGGAAATTCACATTAAGAAAGCAAAACTATGAATGGTTTTGAATGAGACTGACTAGAAACATCTTAATCTGACTGCATAGACTTGATTGGAATAAATGACGGGGGTCGGCACCATGGCTCACTTGGTTAATCCTTTGCCTGCGGCACCGGTATCCCATGTGGGTACCAGTTCTAGTCCTGGCTGCTCCTCTTCCAGTCCAGCTCTCTGCTGTGGCCCAGGAAGGCAGTAGAGGATGGCCCAAGTGCTTGGACGCCTGCACCTGAGTGGGAGACCAGGAAGAAGCACCTGGCTCCTGGCTTTGGATTGGCACAGCTCTGGCTGTGGCGGCCATTTGGGGGGTGAACCAACAGAAGGAAGACCTTTCTCTCTGTCTCTCTCTCTCACTGTCTAACTCTATCTGTCAAATTAAAAAAAGTGACAAGAGAACAAAGGTAAATAATAGTCTGAGTCAAAAACGAGTGGCCTTGGCCTCTAATTCCCCTTCGCAAGAAGCCCCGTGCAGCCAGCCGGACACCAGCATCTTGGCTCTTGTGCTCCCGGCACCCTCCTGGGTGCCCGCTTGCACACACACACCTCACCCTCAGCCTCACCGAGAGCTGGCTGTGTGCTGACCATCCTCCCTCCCTCGCTCAGGCAACCACTCCACAGGCCCTCATCACCAGCACCCAGAGCCCACCCCACCACTGAGATCCTCTCTGTGGCCCTCCCACACCCCACCTACTTCCGTTATTCACTGTGGCTGTCTGACACTGACCGAGGTCTGACACAGAGGGGCTGGGTCTCCCGATATCAGGGACGTGTGTGACGTCAAATGTTCACTAACACACCAGGAAGCGCCCGACGAGGAGATGAACGCATTTGCAGGTGCCCTGTTTCTGTGCTCAGATCGCTGCAGGGTCCCTCTGGATAGCAGACACTGGGGAAACAGGAAGTGGCTAATGTTGGGACCTGCTCGGCTGGGAGCCAGCTGCACCACAGGCATCAGAGACCCAAGTAAGGCCACAACAGCAACGTGGAAGGCAGGAAGCCCAATCTCCAGATGTGATGGAGTAGCCCGGAGCCTGAGCCCCTCTCCCTCCCCGACTGTGCATGTACATGGAGAAAGCGAGGCAATCAGCACAGCTGTGGAGTCTACACCTGAGAGCGTGCTGAGAATAAAAGGTCCCTGCAGCTCCATGCCCTGGGAATGGGCAGAGGGAGTTGGGGAGGCCGGGTGTAGAAAAGCACTGCATACAAGTCAAAGATGAGAGAGCTGACTTTAGGGTCCCCTCTCCCCCTTACAAGAATGTCATGCAAGAGACCCTGAAGAAGACCCTGCCAGAGCACCGAAGAACAAGAAGGGAGAAACCTAGGACAGAAAGGCCCCATGAAGGAGAGGGACCAGAGGGGCGTGAGCTGCAGCAGCCCCTTCAGAGTCCTCGGTGCTGCCTGGGCAGCAGCCGCAGTGGGCGGAGCAGCTGCCCCAGGCTTCCACGTCCAAGAAGAGCCTTTGCCACACCTGGCTCCCATCCACGGGCTGACACCAGTATCCTACCCTGCAGCACCGCCCAAGCCTCCTGCCTGCAAAACACTCAGGACAGTCTGAGAAGTCATGGCCATTGCCTCCCTCTGGAGAAATCCCATTTAAGGCAGGGTTTCATTTTCCAGTCTGTTCTACTGTGCACTAGTCTTCCGTGATTACTCTGACAATTGTTGAAAATATAAGATGGTGGTTATGGTTCCCTGTATCTGTGAGATGGGTGGTTATGGACTCCCTGTATCTGTGAGATGGGTGGTTATGGACTCCCCGTGTCTGTGATATGGGTGGCTATAATTCCGTATCTGTGAGGTGGAGGGTTATGGTTCCCCATGTCTGTGACATGGGTGGTTAAGGACTACCCGTGTCTGTGAGAGGGGTGGTTATGGACTCCCCGTGTCTGTGATATGGGTGGTTAAGGACTCCCAGTGTTTGTGAGATGGGTGGTTATGGTTCCCTGTGTCTGTGACATGGGTGGTTATGGTTCCCTGTATCTGTCAGATGGGTGGTTACGGACTCCCCATGTCTGTGACATGGGTGGTTATGGACTCCCCGTGTCTGTGACATGGGTGGCTGTAGTTCTGTGTCTGTGAGGTGGAGGGTTATGGTTCCCTGTGTCTGTGACATGGGTGTCCATAGTTCCCTGTGTCTGTGAGATGGGTGGTTAAGGACTCCCCGTGTCTGTGAGATGGGTGGCTATGGTTCCCTGTGTCTGTGAGGTGGAGGGTTATGGTTCCCTGCGTCTGTGACATGGGTGGTTATGGTTCCCTGTATCTGTGAGATGGGTGGTCATGGACTCCCTGTATCTATGAGATGGGCGGTTATGGACTCCCCGTGTCTGTGACATGGGTGGCTGTAGTTCTGTGTCTGTGAGGTGGAGGATTATGGTTCCCCATGTCTGTGACATGGGTGGTTATGGCTCCCCGTGTCTGAGATGAGGGTTATGGTTCCCCGTGTCTGTGACATGGGTGGTATGGTTCCCCATGTCTGTGACATGGGTGGTTATGGTTCCCCATGTCTGAGATGAGGGTTATGGTTCCCCATGTCTGTGACATGGGTGGTTATGGTTCTCTGTGTCTGAGATGGGGATTATGGGTCCCCGTGTCTGTGACATGGGTGGTATGGTTCCCCATGTCTGTGACATGGGTGGCTATGGTTCCTTGTGTCTGAGATGGGGGTTATGGTTCCCCGTGTCTGTGACATGGGTGGTTATAGACTCCCAGTGTCTGTGATAGGGGTGGTTATGGACTCCCAGTGTCTGTGAGATGGGGGTTCTGGACTCCCCAGTGTTTCCTGAGGTGTCTTAGGACCTGGGTGGAAGTTGCCAGCCTCGTCTGATGTTGAGATAGAGTCCTTCTTTCTGCACCAGTGTTGATTCTTGCTGACTCGAAAGCCTGAGCAATACAGAGCCACCACAATTTCACCTCACAGTGGTAACAGTCAAGAAAGAAAGGACCTGGAAAGCATTTTAATCCTAGTCAGTAAAATGCAGCCATTGACTCACCACCCACCCCCTTCTGGTGGCACTTGCTCTGTTCCCCCGTCTGAGCTGGCACAGAGCCCCCAAGTGCAACCATGTGTGATGCCGCAGGACACTCCTTTCAGCTCTCCTACATGAGTGTCAACACTAGGCTGAGGTTGCTGCCCCACTGGACCGACCGTTGTGTCCTTGTATCTATCCTTCTCTCCACCACAGTCATCACCTTGATCATTACCATCACTACCTATCGTGTTCTTAGTGAAGAATTTCTCACTTTAAAGTGTGAATCAGTTGTAATAACTAACTGCATGGCTCTAACTTGCACTTACAAAGAATGACAAAAATTACCCCGTCCCCTTATTTGATGCCACTAAACGTCACCATTACTTTAATTAAACAGCAAACTCAACAGTGACAGGAACTCATTAACTTTCATAAACCCATTCAAAATGCAGAGATACTCAAGGCTAAAAAGACTGAATTCTTACTTACTATCAAGAACACTTAAATGGATTCCCATTTTCCATCTCTCCAG